CGAGCAGGATAGGACTGAGCAACGGTTCAAGTTGGATAAGTTTAGGTTTAGGAGGAGATAGGAAGAAACTGGTTCACAAATAGGGTGGTGGACGAATGGAACAAGCTTAGCAACTTTGTAGTAAGTGCGGGAACTCTGGAAAGTTTCAAAAGGAGGCTAGATAGATTCATGGATGATGGAGAGTGGTAGTAGCTCTCGACAGGAGCTGCCATGCACAGGCCAACCGGCCTATTGCAGACTCCTTATTTTCTTATGTTCTTATGTCTTGTACTGTCACACGTCACCTCATTATTACTGTCACACGTTATGTCATTATTACTGTCACGTCACGTCTTCTACTGTCACACGTCACCTCATTATTACTGTCACACGTCACGACATTATTACTGTCACGTCACGTCTTGTACTGTCACACGTCACCTCATTATTACTGTCACACGTCATGTCATTATTACTGTCACGCGTCACGTCTTGTACTGTCACACGTCACCTCATTATTACTGTCACGTCAATTCATTATTACTGTCACGCGTCACGTCTTGTACTGTCACACGTCAACCATTATTACTGTCACACGTCATGTCATTACTGTCACACGTCACGTCTTGTACGTCATACGTCATTATTGTTGTCACGTCACGACATTATTACGTCACACGTCGTCTTGTACTGTCACACGTCATTGTCACACGTCACGTCATTATTACAGGCACATGTCACGCCATTATTACTGTCACGTCACGTCTTGTACTGTCACACGTTACGTCATTATTACTGTTACACGTCACGTCTTGTACTCGTCACACGTCACGTCATTATTCACTGTTACACATCACGTCTTGTACTGTCACACATCACGTCTTGTACTGTCACACATCACGTCTTGTTCTGTCACACGTCACGTCTTGTTCTGTCACACGTCACGTCTTGTACTGTCACACATCACGTCTTGTACTGTCACACGTCACACCATGTTGTACTGTCAAACATCACGTCTTGTACTGTCATGTCACGCCATGTTGCATTGTCACGTATCATGTCTTGTACTGTCACACATCACGTCTTGTACTGTCACACGTCATGTCTTGTACTGTCACACGTCATGTCTTGTACTGTCACACATCACGTCTTGTACTGTCACACGTCATGTCTTTTTCTGTCACACGTCACGTCTTGGTACACCCAGCGTCGTACACTCTCTCTGCAGGGTTGTGGCGCCTGTTGGAGTCTGCGGGAGACAGAAGCCAGTTATCACCCAAATATAACATTGCCCTTGCATGTTATTTCATACATACATACACACATACACACATACACACATACACACATACACACATACATACATCCCAAGTGGCTGTACGGATGACATGCGTCCCCCACAAACCTTGAGGTAAACACGACACATCAAATTGATTTAAAATATCGAATTTCTGCTTGTATTTCTTTGGGAAACTGGTGGTGTAGGCAAGTGTTACGCTGGCAGCTTATGTCATTACGGTGTGTTACATAGACAAGTCTGATCGATGGTTATGAAGCTGTTGGTAGTGTTAACATTTTACAACTGAGGTGACCAAATGACTTGTACTCGTAACAATAGTACTGTTACTATTATAAGTTATGTGGTAAATATATAATTATAATTAACTATTATAATGACTAATTATATAGACTTATATACAATTATAATAATTAGATGTAATTTTATTAATTATATACACTTTTGATAATTGTATATAATTATAACGAGTAATAATTAAGATAATAATAAATATGGCGAGAGTTAATTACTTTTGTGTGTCATGGTGACTTGTTATTATTGTTATTATTATTTTTATTTTATCATCATCATCATCACGATAATCATCATTATACTAAATTATTGTTGACGCGACAAAGGGAGCTCTAATATTGGGGGCCAACACTTACTGCCTGGTGTGTGTGTGTGTGTGTGTGTGTGTGTGTGTGTGTGTGTGTGTGTGTGTGTGTGTGTGTGTGTGTGTCAAATTAGCCAAAATTAAACATAACACATAATATAACTTTATATTTTCCAACGTAAACCTGAATTTACTCTAACCTAACCTCACTCATTCTGACCCACCTTAATCTGTCCTGTCCTAACTGCTGTGGGGACAAGTGACTCTGCCAAGTTGCCTCGTTCAGCAGCAGGTGTCGACGCTTTCTGACTGACTGAGGGGGGTGTTATACTACTGGTGTTGTGTGGTGTTATATTGGTGCTGTGTGTGGTGTTGTTCTTTCTGTGTTGTAAGGTTAGCTACTGGTGTTAGGAGTGAAGTATGTATCAGTAGAGGGAGGCTCGGTGTTGTCTGCTGGTGAGGGAGGGAGCCTCGTTGTTACAGCTGTCCCACATCCTATGACTGGCGCCGCCTCCTCTCAGACCACCTCAGTACTGTACCATAAGAGACTATAGGTATTATCTTCCGTACAGTCTCATCAATTTTCAGGCCATTTAGTCCACCTTGTGCGAGTGAGTCAGGTACGGTCTCACGTTACTAATAGGAAAATCAAACGCCTGCCCGACATTTGTTTGTTTTTGGTCAGTTCTCGCTTCTTGTTGATGCTTCTACTTAAAACAGTGTTGGTAGTGTTTCTGACTGTTAATGACCAGCTTATAATAATGTTCAACGTCTTTATCTTGACTATGACCCCATTACACGCCCACCAACACACCCCCCCCCACCACACTCCCCCTCCACCACCCCCACAACCACACCACGCACTCCACCACCACACCACGCACTCCACGCACTTCACCACACCACCACCACCACGGGTGTTCAGTAAACAACAACAACAACAACTTGTACGTGTTGAAGATAACTGTTTGAGGTAAGTGTCATGTTGTAGTGACAGCTGAAAATACCAAGTAAGAGTATTACTATGGTGAGTTAACAGCCTTCGCCCGGGTGAAGGGACAAGGTGTAGTGTATAACCAGCCATCCCGCACCTCCCTACCACATTTCAGCTGCCTTCAAAACTCTGGAAATGCATAAGGAACACACAAGTCGTCCAGGATACAAGGGGAGATATTTAATGGTTATGGAGGAGGTCTCGTCCCAGGTGATTGCAGGTGTTGTCATAATCACACCCTACCTGTGCAACACCTACCTGTGGGTGTTAAGCGGTGGACAGACGGTATTGTGGTGTTATGGTCTCGTGTGTTAATGATGGGTTAAAGTGGTTATAAAAACTGGACACAATTTACATTCTACAAAATATATAAATAAATAGAATTAACGTTACATAATTAAGGGATAAATGTATAACGAAGGAAAAATTAATTATTCCCCTTCAGCTCTTTGGTAATTATTATTCTCTTCGTTTACTATTATTATCATCATATTAATTTCACCTCTGTTAGTTTGTTGTGAAGTGAACCTGTGTTGAATTTTCGCCCCGTCACTAAACCGGTGAATTACACAGGGGAGGAGGTAAGGCGAGGATTGCATCACGTCACTCGCCTCACTCTTATACTATACAGTAATGAATGATGTGGTTGAACATTTTATTGTGGTGAGGCGGTAAGGAAGACACGGGTGACGGCAGGAGGTAGGTGTTAGTTTGAAGCCTTGAAGCAGTGAACTCTCGGTGTAAGCAGATCTTGAACCTGTGGGGGGTCTGATAGTTCGACCTTGACACAGTAATATGCGGCAGTGTACCTCTTAATGTGCGTAATGAAGCTTGTCCAATAACTTAAAATAACCTTGATGGTAGTTAGGACAGTAGTTACGACAGGTAGGTCAGTAAGGTCACCCACCATTAATACCTGCTGTACAGCCTAGCGCCACACCCTGAAGCCTCCCTCCGGCGCGTGGCCGTGATGTGTGTAAATAAAGCAACATGTCATCATCTGAGGTGAACGTACACTTCGGGGAGGAGGATGACTCTGGGTATTTGCTGACTGTAAACTGCATTGAATTATTTATGTACCATTTTTTGACATGTGCGCCACCTTTTGTGTTGTTTTTGTTAGTGTTGCAGTTGATGATGATAAATTAGTGGGTGTTAGTACAGTGTGTGTCACCTAATGTTGATTTTCACTTGATTATAAAGTTAAATTGTATTGATGAACCGTAAGTGGTAGATGATCACCTGTCTCACTCACTACCTGGTTCTGTACAGTACACAGTAGTTTTGTCCACGCACACGAGTGTAAGCGACGCTTATTCTTAGAAGTACAAAATAATGCACATACATGTCAAGCACACACCACTATATTTTGTCTCCAGTTATCTTTCACATTTTGTGTTAACCAAGGGGTACAGAAACCTGAAGAAGATAGAGGTATGGGGCAGTGAAAAAAGCGACAGGAAGTGTTAATAATCAAGCCAGTTAATGTGTACTGTACTGTTCCCTAACTTAAACTAAACGGTTAACGAACTGCTATTAACTATTCAGCTACTTTGAAGTTGGTTATTTTTTTACCGATTTATTTATTGTTTGTTAAGTACGTAAATGCAATGCATTGATGAAACACATGCAGCAACTGTCGGTGGTCTTGGTGGACGCAGTACGACACTCTGGACACCCTGGCAGCAGCGCTCAGCATCTAAGGCTTGTGTTGTGTCCCAAGAATTTGGAATGTGATACAAAACGCGAGAAATAAATATACAAATGCAGTGTAGCATGAAAACTTAATTGATTTATTGCTTCATTTAAAATTTTGTGTAAGGTATTATATGTTATTTGAGTGAAGTAATTCAACAAAGTCAGGCTTCAGCTGTAACCAGTATAAACGAACGCAACTTGTTTATTGTACTTGTTTCCTGAAGGAGGAGTGCCATAACTTCACTGCATTCTACAAGTTATCTTAGTGTAGTTATTAATTAATATATTTGGTAAAATTTGAAACGGTAGTGAGTCATACCGTTTCAAAGTCAAGGACGACCTTCCTCGATTATGCGCTCTTCGATATACATTAATACTATTCGGCAACTGTAGGACCCGACCACCCACCCGGGACCCGACGCGGGTAGCCGAGAGAGCTGGGGAGCAACGAGTACCGTGATCTTACCCGAGTGTGGCGGCGGGTTCAATACACACACTCCCTTGGAACTTGACGCAGTGACTCTACAATTTACAAATATTTTATGACGTTCCTTATGTCAATACTTTTGTTAACTTTACAAGGCCAGTGACTGTGAACCGTGAGTGTATTGTCATGATTCGTGAGTGGTGTTTGAGCCATCGGTGTGTGTGGTGGTGCGGCAGTGAGTGTCATGAGGCGGGAAATCCGGGGTGTGTGTGACTGTTGAGGACCAACCACGACTGCGTATTACGCCTCTACCCTCCCGACGTTTCATACACTTCTGATACATCACCACGTAATGAAGAGAAACACTGAAGTAAATAAATGCTTTTCTCTGGTGTTGATAATACTTGGTTATACAGAGGTGCGTGTAGTGTTTAGTGATACAGAGGTGCGTGTAGTGTTTAGTGATACAGAGGTGCGTGTAGTGTTTAGTGTACGTGATTCTTGTGGACACCGTGCAAGTGTTTTAGTGGTTTACCATCTCATATATTTTATCTTTAGTGAACATCGTACGCGACCCTGAGGAGCTTTTAATTTAGTTCAGATCAGTGAACGATAAATTGTGATAATTTGCCTGTGATGAAATTTTGGTTGGCAATTCACTGGAATAACTGATGTTTTTTTTAGGAAATATGAAAAACTTGAAAATTGTCCTGTTATGTAAGTGACTGACTGAGTATAATGATCATATCAGGGAAGAGAAAGATGCGGAGGTAACATTGACATAAAAGTTGTTGATAATATTCCCATTATTCGCTGAAAAACATAATACTGAAATGTTTGTGTCTTGAGGCAAAAAATCACCGGTATTAATTTATGTGTGACTACGTTAAAAAGGATAAAAGGAATGCTTGTGATCTGCCTGGCCCGCCTGAAGTCACCCTTGTAATGTTAGTGTTTCTAATACCAATACCGAACACGAGTGACTGGAGCACACCTGCAACTGATGATAATTTAAATGTGTAAAGTTCTTTTATTAACGTGTCGTGTGGACAACACATTTCACTAATACCAGAGACCAAGTCCACCCTGGAAATAAGCAGCTGACATAACACATTTGTCGGCTACCATGGTCACGTTGCCTTACTGTTTACCTGCACTGTCTCGGTCTACCCGCATCATATATCTACAGTGTCTATATTCAATCTTAACTATAACTGGATAATTTATAAACATGCTTATCCAACTGTAAACCTGTGTGATAACTTTACTGAATGAATATTGTCATTATTAGTAACAGTATCGCTTAGGTTACGGTCAAGCAACCAATTTTTTCTTCTTCTAATCACTCCACAACTGGAGCAGCTCGGGCTGTTGGTCTGTTTTGTGTTGCCTTGTTATGACCTTTATTGTTCCGTGTTAGTACCGGAGTCCACCCGGAGAAAACCTCGAGTTTAGGTACTGTACACTATGTCACACTGGATAAACACCCTTCTCACATCTGACCCGGGCCGGGGATTAAACCTGGGAGGTACTCGCGTTGCCGCTGTATCACCAATTCAGTGTGTTGGTTATCACAGTTGTTGTATGTACAATATTTAACACTTTAACTACCAAGGTAATATTATACACCGTTCTCCTTCACCGAGAGTTGTGTCTGAGGTAACTACCCGGTGGTGAGGTACAGTAGATGTGTAATAACAAACTTACTCATCACTAACGAGGAATGTCACAGTTGACAATTTATTTTTTTTGCCTTTTTATTGCATTATATAAGAAATACGGGTTATATTAGTAGTTCGCCAAGGGAAGCAGCAACAGAGTAATTTCTTTAATATTTTTTACCTAGAATACAGTCGTAATGTTCTTTATAGAAATGTTGAGCCATACCCCATTGTTCAGTGTGGGCTTGTGGGTGTACATACAGTGACCGACCACAGGCCAGGTGGTGTACAGTACAGACGTTACTCTCTTAATGATCCCTGTATTTGTGTGGCAGTACTAACCAAAAAAATATGTTTATATCTTACCGGGTGATGTGCCAGTCTAAATGAATGAGGAAACTGGCTTTATTCCCTTCAAGGCGTTATACACACTGAGATAAAAAATTATTGGTGTGTGAGTTAAAGGTGTCAGTGAGGCGGGGCGCGACTCTTCACTTTCCCGGAATATTTAATTGTTTTTGAAACCAATCAACTTAATTTTAATTATTAACGCAGTGTATGGTAACAGTGTATTATAAATTAGTATGCTATCAAGCAATGACATTATGTCTCATCTCAGTTAAATATGCAAGGATGAAAAATGTGTTTTGATTTGATAGTAGAGGAGAGGAAGCAAAGGGATGAGTTGCCAGACATTTCTAGGTTGGTAAACTGCGTCGAGTTTCTATACAACAGACTACCGCAGTACTTAAAGTGTGCACATATATGACCGCCACTGTAAGTCAATGCATGTGCACACAACACGACGGCAGTACATGTACAGTATACTGTTCACGAACACCAGTATATACTGTACCAGTTTGTTGCTAAAGTATTTGAGCAGTAACAGAAAACGAGGCTACAAGTTGTCTGAAATTTGAACAGGAAGAGAGTTCCTACCGAGTGACTCACTACCACGTGTTTCCATCAACCTGCATCACTATACTTCACTATATCAACAGAACAATATATTAATAATCACCAACACGAACTACAGTATTTATTAACTCTCACGGCTCCGCTAAGGAAGACAAGTGAAATAAAATCTTTGTACAGAACAGTACATGTTAGAGTCGTTGTTGATTGACTTGTTGCCATCGAGTACCAGCAGTGAGGGAAGGAATTGTTGTGTCGGTGGGGTGGTTTAAAGTGCCAACAGTAGCAGCAACACATGATTCAGCAGCTCATAGTAAAGTAAGCGAGTTCATGATGTGTTGTGGACCCATGGCGGCTGGTCACATAGCCAGATGGGCGGCTGTCCAAGCAATTACAAGTCACGCAGGAGATTGTAGGCGTGGCTATTTTTAAACTTTCATAGTGGATAAACTATACATATATTTAACTTCGCCGTATTAAAGAGAACTTTGAATTATAAATCGTCATAACCCCTTCACTACGGAGACGCCACTTTGAATGTTTTATTTGTCGAACGCCAGACGATATTATTCAGCAGAGGCGACACGTACTGTACTGTAAACACGGGGTTAGGTTCATCGATTGTTTTTTGTGAACTGTTGTGTTTACTGAAAAGCTGACGACGATGTTTCACACAAACTTGGGCGAATTTCATTTTTTTTTCCGAAACAATAACCAGCAGCTCGAGATCTGTGACCAGTAAATATAACCATAAGGTTTGGGACCAACAGGAAACGTCTCCTTTTGGCGACCTTAGGGACGATAGGTCGCCTGTATCACCTCCCCATCTATATTTGCTAACCTTTCTTTACAGATCAGTTATTATCGCCGAGACAATAATATTTATCGTTTCATTTCTCCAGCTTCGCCTTCTGTCACCTCTTGCCGTAAACATTACCTTATGTACCTCTGAACATCCTGAGTTTAATGGAGGCTTTATAGCCCTCACGTGTTGTGACGTTAACGAAGGAATGGGTCATTCTGGTCGGTAGCTTATACAATGCTATTATCAATTCGCTGCGGGTTTGTTAGTAATATCAGAGTGAGTTGTGACGACTGTGTATGTATTCAGTACACAAAGTAGGCTGGGAAGGTTGACGTGTTCTAGTGTCACCACCACCATATTGTTACATGTCATCTATCATTCACCTTAACTGACTTACACTAAGTTTGCGGAGTTTCATACCAGTAATTAAACGTATCTTACGTGGCAACTTCCTTCCGGAAATCCAGAGTGGACTGTCTCGCTGGGGGTTAGCGCGATATTCCTCATTTATTTATGTCATCAAAAAAACAACGGCTGACAAATTTTTATTCAGTAAAGTTAGTCAATCATTTTCTGCTAACACTGTCGACCCTGAGCAGGTCAGGACCGTAAAGACACATTAACCACATTGTACAGTACAGTATCACGTGACGGCTTGTGTCCGGGAACTCGGGAAGAGCGAGGCAGAACGTCGTACATTGACTTACTGTTTTATTAAGGTAAGCCGCTGTACACGTTGAGTTTGTGTGTAGTGATGTACCGCCTCACAGGCTTGGTGATGGACGTATATTGCGCTGCACTCGTTCCTTCTCACCCTCCCCAGGAATATCAGGGGGTCCAAGAAGAACGTTGTGGGTGGGGGGAACAGAGCGAGCACAGCGAGCCACACCCAGCTGCTTGGGGGTGAAATCTGACCAAAATCATGGGCATTTTGAGGCCATGTGCACTTTTATATAAGGAGATATTCTGAGGTCATTAGTAATTACCTTTACCTTTAACTTTACAAAAAACGCCTCAGTACAATAATACATTAAAAAAAAGGTATTGGAATTTTCTGATGAAAAATGGCCCCAGTATCCGCCCAGGACCCCCTCCCTGGATCCGCCCCTGCCCCTCACCTTCAGTGTTGACTGTTACCTATAATTAAATAGTAAAGGGGATTATAATCCATTAATAGGTCAGTATTTTTTACGGTCAGGTAGTGTGAGGCTGCGTTGATGTGACGCCATTTTTCATTTAAAACGGTGTTTTTGTCTTAAGGTGCCGGGTCACTGGTGTTGCTCGACTACCAGTGCAGTACAGTACGGTGCGGTACAGTGCGGTGCGGTACAGTACAGTACAGTACGGTGCGGTACAGTGCGGTGCGGTACAGTACAGTACAGTACGGTACAGAACTTGCTGGTGTAGTTGGTGACATTGTTTGCCGTGCTCTCACTACCCAGTCACCATGAGTCCAATAATTCATTTGATTGAGGAACTTTAGAGACCACATTGTTGTGCCTTTACTTGCTAACCCTCTTATAACAATGACTAGTGCTCGTATGTTGAGTATCTACAGTAGTGATGACAGATAAAGTAGCCACAAGTATTAACCGTGAAACAAATTAAAGACAGTTCCATAAAACACCTACATAAATATTGGTATTATTTGTGTTATCGTGTTGGTGGTATTAGCCAAGTCACTGTTCACGTGTTGGTTTACGCTGACCGGTAGTTAACGCTCTCTGGCAGTACTGAGGTGAGGTGTTCAGGAGCTGCCTCGTCCCACAGGTTTACTCACTGTCATCAACATCTCAACGTATGAGTAAATACTTACTATTATACCTGTACATGCTCTCTCTCTCTCTCTCTCTCTCTCTCTCTCTCTCTCTCTCTCTCTCTCTCTCAGCGTCACCGTTGATGATGTCGTTCGGTTTATTTTCTCCCACAGTACACTTGTATTGTCACACTACAGCAGCACTGTAAGTCCCGCGGGAACATTAATATGCT